TCCTGGTCATCTGCTGTTCACCTCCTAGTTTTCTCCCTACAGCTGCCACCTCAGCTCACCCTCTGCAGCCACCAAGTGAGAAAATTGTGCTTACAGGAAAATTCCAGCTCTCTTTGGTTAGGAGGAAATCTTTGCTTCTTACCCACAAAAAATGACACAGGGATGCCAAAGATCCCAAGGAAAGCTCTGGAACTCCAGCAGCTGTGCCAGTAGAAGGTGTTGATCCAAGGGCTGGACCCCTCTGCTCTGGAGCCAGGCTGGGAGAGCTGGGGGTGCTCACCTGGAGAGGAGAAGGTTCCAGGGAGAGCTCAGAGCCCCTTCCAGGGACTGAAGGGTATACTGGAGAGCTGGAGAGGGACTGGGACAAGAGATGGAGGGACAGGACAGGGGGAATGGTTTTTAAGTGATAGAGGGCAGCGATGGATGGGATATTGGGAAGGAATTTGTCCCTGTGAGGGTGGGCAGGCTCTGGCACAGGGTGCCCAGAGCAGCTGTGGCTGCCCCTGGATCCCTGGAAGCATCCAAGGCCAGGTTGGACATTGGGGCTTGGAGCACCCTGGGATGGTGAAAGGTGTCCCTGCCCATGGCAGATGATATTTAAGGTCCTTTCCAACCCAAACCACTTAATTCCATTCTATTTCAAGGCAGCACCAGGAAGCAAATGAGGAGAGCACAGCCCCAGGGATGAACAGGGTGTCAGGCGCTGGGATCCCGCCTGCTGCCGAGACAAAAGCCTTGGAATTTCCAGGCATGTTTGTCCCGTGCAGGGGCCATCACCTGCAATAAATAAAGCAGTTTTCCTGAGCAGAGAGCAGGTTATGATGGATGAGGCGTCAGCTGTGGCTGCAGCCACGGCCCAAGTGTTGGAAATGCCATTATGGAAGTGCTCATAAAAGCTCAGCAGGGCTGGGAAACTCTGCCTGCTGCTGCTCTGCCTTCTTTCTGCACACTGGGCCTGCTCTGCTGTAAAACATATAAAGAGGTGCCTTAATATGAAAACAGGTTTTTGGTATACACAGAAATCTTTATGCAGCAGAGCTGGATGTGCTGTTTACTCACAGGAGCTGAAGTGGTGCATAAGCCACAGACTCCAGGTGCAGAGCTGAGGCCGAAACAGCCCTGGAAATGCTGGTGTGAGGCAGAGGAACCAGTGGAACAAACCAGTGGAACAAATCCCTGTGCTCTGCTCCCTGGAGAGCATTTCAGCAGCCCAGCTCTGCTCTGCTCGCCCAGAGCTGGGAGTGAGCAGTGCCTGGGTCTGCTCCTCCTGAGAGCTCCTGGTTCTGTGCTCAGCACCTTGGCTGTGAGAGGAATGAGGGATTCGTCTTTACAAACCAGCTGTGGGTCTGCTGGGAGATAAAACCAGCACTGGGAGATAAAAGAAACAATGGGAAGGATTCCACTGATTGATGAAAGGAAAAATATATTTGCTTTTACAAATAGACTTCAGATTTGCTGACAAATGAAACTGGACATTGAAAGATGGAAGAAACAATGGGGGAGAAAAACCCCTAAATTCCATAAGAATTAAAAATTAAAAGGGAGGGTTATACATTAGAGAGAAATCTCTGGTATCAGGCAGAAGGTTTCAGGAAGTCTGTACCTCTCAAGTACTTCAGCCAATGGGGAAAGAGAGAAGGGAAATGAGGCTGGGAAACTGGGATAAAAAGGAGGCTGCGTCCTCCAAAAATTGGAGAGACCCCAGGGGAATGCCCCATGGCCTCTCCCTTTATTTGAGTAAAGTGAAAGGACTCCTCTGTCTCCTTTTTGGACATAAACCTCCGGTGTTTGTGAATTAATTTTCCTAACAGCTGGGAATATCACACCAGAGCTATTCCTGGCTCTCCTGCGAAGGACTCACCTCCCAGTCCTTACCATGAACACCTCTTCCTAAAAAACCTAAAAACCCCACTTCTGCCAGTGGTTTTGTTGGCAAACCAGAGACAGTGCAAAGATCCTTTGTGATCATCAGCACACCTTGGCTCTGGAGCTTCTGTTTTGAGTTTTGGGGCACCTCAGTGCTAGCCCTGCCAGCCAAGACAGTGAGTGTCACATTCACAGCCACAGCTTTGGGGCTGCACTCCTGGGAATAACCCAGTAAGCAGTGTGTCCATGCTTTAATTTGTGCTCCTGGAGACAAATGATGCCTGAAATTGCATTTTGTAAGCTCAGCTTTCTGAGGTTTTTGGTCTGTTCCTGTCTAAGTGCAGGTCTAACATCTTCTCCTTCAAACTGGCTGTCCTCTGTAAACCAGCAAGTGCCTTTTTACCTCAATGGCCTTCCAAAACATGCAATTCAAATGCCTGACTAAGGCCCTCGTGGCTGAGCTCTGGGCTCCCAGTTCAAACATGGAGCAGTGTCTATAAAACTTTTTATATCATCTCCAGTAATATTAGAATCATATTCCCTTGACCATCCTTAGGAAAACAGCTCTTGACACACTACTGGGATGAAAGGAGGGGAACACATGGTATCAGTAAAAAGGGAGTTAACAGAGCATTCCAAGCAATAACATTACACTACACGGTGTAGCAACAAGCCAAGAAGTAATAATTATTGGGACTAAGTGGAATCCAGAGGTGCCCCCAGCGCTGCACTGGTCTCCTTTCAGTGCAAGAACCTCAGGCACTCAGTCCATAACAGCCAGTCCCACTGTTGGTATAAAAAAGGTCGACGTGGCCTGATTTAAAGTCTCCCTTTTCCCCAGGGATTTGTGCCAGGGCTGCTGAGTGGGTTTGGAGGTGTCCAGGAGGCCAAGCCCAGTGGGGCTGGAGCTTCCTTCCACTGGCAGATCCCTGTGGCTGGCTGAGATCCTCATCCTGGGCTCTGCTGGGCACCCCAGGGGCTCGTCCTGTTTCTCTGCTGGCTGTCCCCAGCAGGACCAGCCCCTGGAGCAGGAGATGCCCCTCAGGAGAGGATGCTGCTGCTGGAGGAGGTTCAGCCGGGCTGAAGTCAGCAGAGGGTATTCCCTGAAGATGTTACCTGGGACTTGAGATGGGAACCAGGAACATTTGACCTTCTCTCATAAAACCAAAGGACACCCAGAGATGGAAGGGACCCACAAGGACCCACAGAGACCAATTCTTCTCCCCGCACCCAAGAATTCCATTCTCTGTCCCTGTCCCGACATGCAGCAGGGAGCAGGTGCTGCCTCTCTCCCATCACCACATTCCCAGTTCCCCCAGGTCCTCCCCCAACCTTTGGCCCAGCCTCAAGTGGTCACCCTGCAGAGCTCCGGCCCATCTCCATGGACAGCAGCCTCCAGGCTCCTCCCTGGACATCTCCTGGATATCCCTTCCTCAGGCCCATCTCCACGGACAGCAGCCCCCAGCCCCTCCCTGGACATCTCCTGGATATCCCCTGCCCAGGCCCATCCCCACGGACAGCAGCCCCCAGGCCCATCCCTGAGCCCCCAGGGCTGGCATGGAGAGCCCTGTCCTGCCACCACAGGAGGAGTCAGCCACGTCCCCCCTCCCTGCTCCCATTTCCCTGCTCCCTTTCCCACTCCCTGCTTCCCCACAAGTCACAATTCCCAGAGGGAATGGTCCTCCTGTGCTGGCCCCTTCTCCAGGAGGAGAAACGGGGGACTTGTGCCTCACCCCTGCTCTCCAGGGCCAGGCAGTGCCTCAAAACCCCCCTGTTCTTCCAGAGCTATGACGGGTACCAGAGCTCCCTGCTCCCCTCTCACCTGCCCACACCCACCCTGCCTCTAATTTCCCTCTTTTTAAGCCTCGGTGGTGTTTTTATCCCACTTGGCAAAGACCAGAGGGGTTGGGTGTTGGGTGCCTGGGGGGAGCCAGGAATGCAGAGTCGGGATTTGCAGGGCACAACAAACCCACTTGGCAACTCCTGCATCACCCCCCTCCTGATCTGGAGCCATGAAAAACAACTTCCTGTCAATAAACAGGAACAAAAGCTTGGAAGCCTCTTCAAAGTGATGAGTTATGTCCAAAATATGTTTCGGGGCACTTTGAATGTTCCTGCAAACTGGAGGGAAGTGATTGTTCCTGACGCTCTGGCGTTGGAGGGAGTTTATAAATACCCAGGTCTGCGTGAGTTCCTTTTGCCATGGGAAAAAAAACACATGGAGGGAGAGGAAGAGGAGGGGAGGAAGGCCTAAGAGCCCCAAAATCTGGAGAATGGGATGAATTTTAAAAAGCAGATGTGAAGTGGGTTTGGTTTTGGGAGAGGATCTTCTCCCCACACCTGGCCCTGGTGGTGCTGGGGCAGGGGAGGGAGGAAGGAAGGACTCCAGGAAGGAATCCAGGAAGGAATCCAAGAAGGAAGGAAGCACTGCAGGAAGGAAGCACTGCAGGAAGGAAGGACTCCAGGAAGGACTCAAGGAAGGAAGGAAGGAAGGAAGGATATGGTGCCCATTGGTTTCCCCAAGTGAAAACACATGCTGAAACCTCAGCCAGCCATGCTTCTTGTTATTTTAATGAGAAATTCCATAATTAGTGGCAAAAAATAAAAAGAAGCCATGCTGCAAGTGAAGGAAAACCCCTCTCTCCCCTCTGCAGTGTGTGATGGATGCATCAAAGGGATGTAGTGTTTTTTTGGTGTTTTTTACAAACAGATATTACTTGACAGGCTGGGATGTTCCCTAATCTGTTTGCTTGAGGGAACTAAAGAGAAATATTGGAACAACAAAACAACAAAACAAAAAAGCAGCCAAATAAAAGTGACAGGTTTTTTTACTTAAGGAGTTCTTGTCTTCCCACCTGTGATTCATTTGTCATCAGTTAAACATCATTACAACATTAACAGCCAATCTCAGGGCAGAAGAGCTGGGCTTTGTACAGCCATAAAGTACAGGACATCAAACTGCACTTTATGGAGTCGGGGCCGCTCAGGAGTGACCCCTTCTAAACTTTTACAGTTCTCTGCATTCTTCTGATTATGGTAAAGATTTATTTGAACTTTGATATATATGTGTATTAAAAGAAGAAAAAAACCAAAAACTAAAGGAAAGAACAAAAGGAAGGAAGGAGTGTTTTATTAAAAACATTTCATCCAGGTTCTTTAGGAGAAGAAACAACGGCAAGCAGTTTTCAGCTGGTGGATTTCATTCAGCTCCCCAAGTGGTCACGACTGGATCTGCTTGGGTTCCTGCTCAGAAATAAACACGTAGGCTTGCATTACATCCTGCTGGCACTCTGTGCTCCCCGAGCCTGCCTAATATCCCATTGCACAACCCCTGGCAAGCTGGAGCACCAGGGAAAGGCCTGGCCAGGGCTTGTTTCCCTTTGTCCGGGGGAGGCAAGGTGCCTCAGTGGATGAGTGCTGACTGACTCCCTCTCTCACCTCCTCCTCCTCCTCCGTGCTTGTCTTTCCCTGCAGCACCCCTTGGAGCTACTGGTGAAGGAGTTCAGCAATTCCCCCAGGAAACAGACACTGAAAATCTGATTTAACCTCTCAGCTCGCTGCAGAGAGCACGGAACTGATGACTGCCCGCTGTTCTGCAGCCCCAGCAAGGATGGGAGAGGCATCGAGGGGGTGCTGCAAGCTGAACTGGGCAGTCAGGACACAAGAAAACACCTCAGGTTTTCCTCCTCTTTTCCAGGATCCCCCTTGTGCAGCTGTCACACCTGGCTTGGCTCAGAACACTGCGCTTCAGCACTCGGCCTGTGGACCTGTGGAGCAGGGAAAATCCCAGTGCTGTGGGAGCCCTGCTTCCCCTTCATGGAACATCACCTGCTAGGCAGCACTATTCCATAAAAATGGGGGCTTTTCCTGGCTGTAAATAATGGGATTTTACACACTCACTCACAGCAATGCACCTGTGATGGATGTCTGCACATACAAGGGGTTTTGCAGAAATGCAAGGATGGGATGGGATGGGATGGGATGGGATGGGATGGGATGGGATGGGATGGGATGGGATGGGATGGGATGGTTCATTATCTGCTCCAAACCTGGCTTAGGTATGGCAATATCTCAGCCTCATGGTGCCCAAGGGTGTCCATCCATCGTGTTGCTCCCTATGCTGTTTTTTTTGCAAAACACCCTCTGAGCAGGGAGCTTGATTTAGGGACAGATACAAGAGCCATAAATCCCAGGAAGCCCCCAGATCAGAGCAATAGGCTTTTTGGAGATTGTGCACAGTGGAGAAGTGCTGATGAGACAGATTTTTCCTAGGAAACTTGCCACTTCACAGAATTGCTGTTTCCCATGGGGAAGAAATGTGCTGAAAACTTGCAGTATTCTTCTTTTATGCCTTTTTTTCTTCTCCCTATTTTATTTTGATAGGTTGAGGGGAGACAAACCTGAAATGAAACACTTCATTTTGGTCAGTTTAAGCTGATAGGGGGAATATTTCATTCTTTTGATTGGATGGGTTTCAAATCAATTCAGAATATGCTTCAGCTTTGCTCAGGGAAAGTGCAGCTCCATCTCTTCTCCGTTATTGTGGATCTGCTCTTGGGAGGACTTCCATGCCCAGGAGGCAAAGAGCAACTTTTGTGCTGGCCAAGCCCAAGGGAATGGTGTTGATCCAAGGGCATGGCTGCACATTCCAAAGAGCAGGGAGGTTGAGAGCAGCCCTGATAATCCATAATTCCTCTTCAGAGCTACAGGAAAGAGAATGAGAAAAAGAGAAACTCTCTGGAGATCCTTGTCCCACGCTCCTCCCTGCTGCCAGCCTTCAGCAACGCACACAGGGTAATTGATTTAACATAAAGACCTGAAAATAAGTATTTTGCAATAGTTTCAGCTCCTGTTCAGGTTTCCAGCATTTCAAACCATCTTTATGTCACATCAGTTCAAACATATCTATAGAAAATATTTGGGGATTTTTACTCGACAATTGTCCAGGAGCCTCATTTGGAATTTCAAGTTGTCCCAGCCTTCCTGCCCTCCAGCTGAAGTCTGTGGCTGAGATAGAAAGACAAAGAAGAGTTGGATTGAGCCATCAGTTGCTGATGTTTTCATGCTGAAGAGCTCAGTGATTTTTTTTTTCCTGTTTATTGGCCAGCTCCCTCCGAATTTCTCTGGTTGCTTTCTGCAGAATGGTTCTGTTTTCCTCAGTAAAACTTAAAGCACAGATCAAACAGAGCAGGTTGTCTTCTGTTTTTCTGTTCACATTTCTTAGGGAAAAAAAACCCTAAACTGGTGTGTTTTGAAATGGTATTACCTTATCCTAAAAGTGCTGAAACACAATCTGTTATCAAAAGCAGCATTCTCCTGGGGTTTTGGGATGTTTTTTTTGCAGTCCAAATGCTACAAATGATGCTGGCTAAAGCAAAATAAAAGAACAAAATAGGGAGTCATGAGGTTTTACTGGGACAGACTGTGGAATGTGGCCCTGTTTTGTCCAGGATCCCTGGCCACTTCTGCAGCTCCTGCAAGGTTCAGTGCAATTGCAGAGTGGAAAATATGATTTTCCTGCAGGAGGATCCCTGATATTCTTTCTGTGTGCATTCACAGAGCTTCTGTGCTGGCATGGGTGTCAGAGAAGGAACTGGAGATGTGCATCTCCCTGGATGTTTTACTCCATGAATTTTCTGGGAGAAATGCAGGAACTGCTGTCCCACAGCAGGTAGGAGATGTCCTGTCCATGCTCATGGACTCTGCAATAAACCCCCCAAAGACACAGCAAACCTGGTTTGAGCATTTGCTCTTGTCTGAACCTTGGCAAATGCTCCTGCAAACCTGCTCCAAGTACAGAGTAACCTCTGTGAGGGAAGATTTATTGCTCTGGACCCAAACCAGGCAGCATTTCATCGTTTTGGAGCCCCACACTCCGGGCTGGGTGAGCTGTTAGGTCCCGATGTTCAGCCCACGGGCTGGAAGGGACCTCTAGGTGCCATCTGCTCTGCTCTCCCCGCTCCAGGTCTCAGGTGTGGCTTCTCCAGAGGTCTCTCCTCAGTCTGGAGTTCCCCTCCTTCCTTCTGAGACTCCTTGACAGGCCTTTCCTCTCTTCCTCTAATGTTCTTAGCAGTCATGCAACAAAGAATTCCCAAAATCCAGAGGTTTTGGTGTGTTTACTGTGAGCTGGATGGGAGCCCCGATGACTCTGATGCATTGAAAAGACCAGGGGAAACAAGGAATAACAGGATCTGTTGCCATAACAGAGGATGATCCAACTTCTTCAGACCTAAAAATAGCTTCTCCCTGTTAACCTCTCTGTGGGAAAGAAGGACTCCAGGAAGGAAGGAAGGACTCCAGGAAGGAAGGAAGGAAGGAAGGAAGGAAGGAAGGAAGGAAGGAAGGAAGGAAGGAAGGAAGGAAGGAAGCACAGACACCTGGCAGTTCCAGGAGCCGGAATGATGAGTGGAAGAACAGGTTTGCTGTTAAATATCTGGGATGAGGTTTGGCAAGACCCAGCTCCAGCCTTGGCTTTTCCCATGCTCCTCACGTGACACTGGACTGATCTTTTCTGTTCCCGGTTCCTTCTGGGTTCTTCCTCCCTTAAACATCCGAGGGAAAAGACTATCCCCAAAATGTTCTTCGAAAGGGTGGAGTTACTCCAGTCTTGCTGGTCTTGGAAGCAGAGGTCCAAGGAAACGCTTTTGAAGACCTCTGACCCCACAGCCTGTCTGGCCTCATGCCCCGTGCAACAACCACCACCAGTCGTTCTCAACAGTTGGGAAATAGTTGGGATTTCCCTCCTGGAATTTCCCAGTAAAACAGAGGACTGACCCCAAGCTGTCATGCCGTGTCCCTGCTCTGCAGCTGGAATTTGGTTGTTTTCCCTTTTTTCCCCCTCTGATAAAACACACCAAGTTGTGGAGGAAGGGGAGACCTTTGATGGATGAAAGGCCTCCCCAAAACCCCAATTTTGGAAAAGGGCTGCTTCATTCTGAGCCTCTCCAGGGGTGTTCTGGCTGAGGGTTTGCTGTGCCAGAGATCCTATAAGAAATCCCAGGAACTGGCTGCCAAGGCCTGGATGGCTTCCACTTCTCCCCTGGGCAGCAGGATGCTAATTGCCCTCTCCTAAGGATGTCTGCAGGCTGTGGAGCTTATGAGGGGCAGCTCTGGAAGAAGCCACAGCTCCATTCCTGTGCTTTACCGTGGAACTCAGGAGATTTGTGTGTTTTAAACAACCCAAACCAGAGCACACGGAGCAGGGCTGGGGTCTCTGCCCACTTCTTTTGGATATATCTGCTAAAGATCTCATCAATTCCGGTTCCTGAAGTTCATACCACAGCACAGCCAACCCAAAGCCATGGAAAATACAATTTATTTGGAGAGTGAAAAAGGCCTCTGGATCTGCAGCTGCTATAAACTCACAGGAGACTTTTTTTTTTTAACAATAAGTGGGAAAGTCTCATTAATTTTGCCTGCCAGTTTCTGAGCTTTTTGGGGTATTCCAGCATCTGCCTCTGTGAAGATTAGAAACCCTGTTTCTGTGAAGGCTGGGATCCTTTCCCAGCAATAAAAAACAGAGGTTATTTTTAGTGGAGGGCTGAACTTAGCAGGGTCACGAGAAAATGGGAGATAGATGGGAAATATTGGTTAAACAGTCATTATGGGAAACCCCTGGGAGATGAACCTGCACTTATTCCCTAGGTCTGCCTATCCCTGCTCTCCATAGATTTCAGTGCCATGGCTTTGGTGTCTGTGTGGAGTTGTGGGGGATTACCTTGTCCTTGGACCTGTCCACTGTGAGAAAGGATCACCAGAAAGTCAAGGAATCACCAACCACTGCTGCTCTGTCCCCTTCCTCTCCTTGCAAAGGACTCCCAGACTTCTCCAATCTCCTTCCAAGAGGAAGCTGATGGGTGCTAAATCGATTTATGGAAGAGAAGAGCACTCCAAACACTCTGATATTGCTGTTTCTGCTCATCCGCCGTGTTTTCAGCATTTTAAACAGGAGCAGTCCTAGTACAAAGCTGAAATTTTTGCTTTTTCTTTGGGAAGAAAACTTTGATTTCACTGTTTTGCATCAAAATCCCTATGAAATTCTTGCTTTGCTGAGTTGAGGGGCGATGATAAATTGCAAATGGCAGAGCTGGAGATCAACCAGGGGAACTCCTCGTTCCCTTTGCTTGAGCAGGACCTTGAAAGCAGCTCCTGGAATGCTCTCCCACAGACCCTTGGGCATGTGCTGGTGCTGATTGTCACACCCTGAAGGGCCAGGAGGCCCCTGAGAGGCATGGTCTGGCCACAGCTGCTGAGGTTGGGAGATCCACATCCCCTCTTCCGCAGGCAGCAGGCTGACATAGGAGGAGCCACTCAGGTAGGCACTGGCAGAGGTCACAGCACATCCACAACTCCCCAGGGTTTGGCTCCGAGGTGGGAGCTTGCTAAAAACCACGAGCTCTGCCAGGAAACAGCTGCCTTCATTCATTCTCTCTCTGTTTATTGAGCTCATTTCCCGGGAATCTCCTCTTGACAGCTGTAACAATGGGAATCTGCCTCTGGATCATTGTTAGCACAGAGGGTGTCCCAGCATGGGTGGGAATTGGGGTGGTTTGAGTATCCTTTGATGAAAATGGAGGCTGTGCTGTTGGATAACATTGACCTGCAGTGGGCTCAGTGTGCCTCATGTGGCAGGAAGGAATGATGAATCTGACTCCATGTTCTCAGAAGGCTAATTTATTACTTTATAATACTATATTATATTAAAGAATACTATACCATACTATACTATACTAAAGAATACAGAAAGGATACTTACAGAAGGTTAAAAATATAACAATGGAAACTCATGACTCTCTCCAGAGTCCCGACACATCTTGGTACTGATTGGCCAAAGAGAGAAAACAGCTCATAGCAGAATCCAATGAAACAATCACCTGTGGGTAAACAATCTCCAAACACATTCCAAAGGAGCAAAACACAGGAGAAGCAAATGAGATAAGAATTGTTTTCCTTTTCTCTGAGGCTTCTCCGCTTCCCAAGAGAAAACTCCTGGGCAAAGGGATTTTTCAGAGAATGAATGCCACAGGGAACACCTCCACTGAGCATGAAGCTGGAGCTGGATATTCCAGGCAAGCACTGCCAGAGGGCTGTTGTGGCGTCTTAACTTCTTCTTGCCAGAAAAAATGTGTGAGATGGTATTTCTTGTTTGGACTCAGATGTTTATTAGTTCTTGTCTATGTCACAGTCTCACAAGCCCTGAGTTTTACAGCTTTTCACTCCAACAAACTAAAAATGGAGCCCCATCTCTCTCTACAAGGCCTTTTAAGGATAAACTGTCCAGTTAAGAAATGACACCTGAATTATTTTCACTTTTAACCCAATAGCCAACCACCTGTGGCCTGCAATGGGGACTTTTTATTCAAATACAAAAAACTACCCAAACCCATGGAGAAGAAGAAGGTGGAGAAGAAGGAGCAGCCTCCACCCTAAAACCTCCATCTTGCTGTATATATATTACTATGTTCTAAAACCTTAAACTCTAATTTCCCACCCTGTGATATTTCACATTTCTAATCAAATTCCACACCCATAATTTTAGTTCTATCACTCAATTTTGGAAGCCTTCTCCATGCCTCAGGTCAAATGCAGTGTTCTCTTGGGGGTCGGTGCCTGTCAGCACAGAAAGTCTAAAATTCTCAGCAGCCAGGGCTCCAAGAGGATGTCTAATTTGGGTGTTCATAAACCACTCCATCGCTGCCCTGGTGGTTTGAGTCTGTTTGTTGGTTGTGGCTTCCCTCGTTGGAGCTCTGTGGTGTGGAACCACCCCCGCGTTCCTCGGGGAGCGGCGTGGACACCGCCGGGAGGGCCTGGCTGACCCCTCTGCCCGTGCTGGGAACCCCACAAGGCTCTGCAAAACCAGGAAATCTCTGCCACCACAACACAGACAAACCACATTCATGTCTGTCCGCGGCTCTTTCCAGAACCCCTGGATTCCACTTGCAAATTTAAAAAAAAATCAAACCAGTTTGGGTTATTTAGTAACACCGGAAAAACCTCAATGAGTGGGAGTGAGTCCTCCAGGACCAGACATGGACATTGGGAATGCTCCATGGTAGGAGCAATTACCCCATTGCAACAGGCTTTTCCCACTTACCTTCAAAGCCAAGTTGGGCTCCAATGTATCTGATGCTGTGGCAGGGAATAATGTCTGCTTGGGAAAGCCGGGCAATAGTTGGCTGAAGAAAAGAAAAATATCTTTCAGATATTTTATAATCCAAAAAACATGGTCTCCAATGAGCTTTTCCAAGCACATTAGTGCTACAGCCATTAATAATCACAGGGCTCAAAAAAGGAAAAAAAAATCAGCTGGAAGAGAGTTGAAAGGGAAACCTATTAAAATAAAAAAAGCAATTTCCCAAAAATATATACAGCTTCATTTCCAATTTTTTTTCCGTGTTTTTTTTTTTTTTTTTTTTTTTTTTTTTTTTTGAGTTATTTTTTGCTGTAACTAAAACTTTCAGTGACCTAATAGTCCTTTAAAAAGACAGCTGCAGGGAATAAAATGGGGCTGTTTTGTTCCTCTTGCATTGTTCCTAACAGCGGGACCCATTCTTCCTTGTCCTGATTGAATGCTTCCCAGAGTGTCTAGACATGTCACCACCACTGCTGAGGAGCAAGAGGTACCAGGGCTCATCCCAGGAGGTGGGAAGGCCCCTTATCTGTCCTCCTCCCCATGGAGACTCTCTCCAAACCCAAGACTTGGGTGAAAACCCAGATTATGCAATTCCTAAAAATATCTCCTGTGTTGTTCATTTTTAGGTTGTGCTGGGGTCATATTTTCCATGTTTTCAGCAGCGGAAATCCCAGATTGCTGCCGGAGAACACAACTTCCCGAGCAGGGATTTAGAGGGCAGCACCTAGCTCCCCATGCCTGGTGACCACAGGGCAGAAGGTCACAGAATGAGCTGTCCCGTCCTTCCCCAGCCGCTCACGTTCCTGCAGCCTGGGACAGCTTTCCCTGCCTTCCAAGGAGGCTCCAGGTGCACCTACCTGGCCCTCCAGGTAGGTGCACCTGGAGACCTGCATCTGACGCTCCAGATGTTCCCAATATTTACCCTTTGTGAGATGTTTCACCCCAGTTTCCGCCGCTTTGTCCAACTCTCACTTCACAGCCGCTCTTGGAATGTCTCCGGCCGAGATGAAGTGCTGGTCCAGTCCTCTCCTTCCTGCCAAAGGTTGTTAGCACATCCACCCCACAGCTCATAGCTCATCTCCAGTCACGCCCTTGGATCCCAGAAATCCTGTCTGCTAAGGACAGGAAGGCTCTTGCCGGCAATCCCGAGAGCACTTGGGGCAGTAGGAGCACTTCCAAAATAAAAAATAACAGGGACAATAATAGCCCTTATCCCTGCATCCCCCCTCTGAAGCACCAGAATTTGGCCAGAGCCTGTCATCTGTCAATTACAATCTATTTCTGTCCCGTGCAGAGGGATCTGGCCAGGATCCTGGGATTGGGCTGCTAGCATGACTCATTCCCAGCTGATTGCTCTGTGGCTTCAGCCAGGTGCTCCTGGGACTTGGTGTCCTCATCTGGTGTCCATAAGGAATCGATGCTTCATGGGCAGGAGGGAGAAAGGGAACGGTGGTGAGGAGCACATCCCTCAGCAGAAATCGTCCTGTGTGAAGGCTCAGAGGTATTCCAGAGGTAAGGATAGGAAAGACAAGGATGAAAGTCCTTAGTGTAGGTTTCTGTTGCTCTGAGGGAAAGATGGAGTCACAAAACCCTCAGGAATCCAGTCTCAGGGATCCACAAGATTCCTTGAGGGATTTCTTGTGGACCAAGAGCCAGAGGAAGGATGAGATGGAGGAACAACATCCATGGCAGGGTCTGGATGATGAGGTTGGCTCTAGAGTTGCAGGATTCACTATGGGAGGGCTCAAAGCTGTTCCCTCCCTCAGGAAGCACATGACTGAGCAGTAGGGCCTTTTTCAGCCCTAAGGATGATCCGTGAGGAATGTCCAGCAGCAAAGGCCTGCACCAGTGTCCATGAGGCCCCTGTATGTCCATGTTCACCACGTCCACCTTCCAGAGGCATCACTAACATCCATGGGCTCCTCTCCCAAGCAGAAATGCTGGCTCCTGCTGCCTGTGGTCTTCTGGGCCTGGAAGAGCAGATCCATGAATATAAAAAGGGAGGGAAAAGTCCCTTTAACATGCAAGGGCTGAGAGGAACTCTGGGTGAGAGCTCCAGCCCAGGACCCTCCCTCAGGGGCACCAAAGGGGTGACGAGGGATATTCTCCCCCATTAAACACGATGGCAGTGGCATCCCAGTCCCACTGGTGTCCAACACGCTGTGTTTCCCAGCACAGCCTGGAGCAGAGGGCTTGGGAATGCAGCCCAGGGCCGGCTGGCTCCAGCCGCATCCCAAAACCAGCAGTGTTTTCCAAATTCTGTGGTAATTCCCAGCTCATGGAGAGCCATCAGCAGGACTTTGCAAGAAATGAGTCCCGGATAAATCCTTGCAGCTGTTGTTATCCCATAGGTGCTGGGGGCAGAGGGCTGGTGGGTGGCACCATTGCACAGGAGATGGAAAATGGGGAAACCTTCTCTGGCGCCCCTTCAAACCCAGCTCCTTTCATTTCTTTTTTACACACAGAATAGATGCTGCAGGTGACAAACACCAGCTGAGCAAGGAGGGGAGGGGGATGGAGGGGAAGCACGATCCCCCCTCCCCAAAAAAATGGTGCTGATGTTGGTGTGCAAAAGGCAAAGCTGAAGGTGAATGGAGAGAGTGCAGAGTCCTGGGCAGGCAGGGGAATGAAATGTGGTCCTAATTACTTGCTAACTATCCCACATTTCACAAGTCATTTTAATGGCCCAAATGGATTCCTTTCAACTGGGAGCGAGTGCTGGAGCGATAGGGATAGAGTTCTCTCGCAGGGGGACATGTGGTGCCAGAAGCCCGTTCTGAGAGGAATATTGTTATCTGGAATGACATTAATACATCCTGTTATTCCCTCACGCCGGATCATGTGCCGGGAAGGGACCGTGCTGTTAAAATGTCAGCATTCAGGCAGCATCTCAGCACAGTAGCTGGTGCGGAGGGGTCAGGCAGGCAGCCCTGGGAGTAATCCCTATTGCCCTGGGCAAATTCAGACCCTTCCCAGGAGCTGGATGCTCCATTGGTGCTCCACCCACCTGTGCTATGCTTCCAGGTGATCTGGAGAAGGGATGGGTGGCACTGAATGCTGGTTTGGTCCAGGTTTTTTTTTCCTCAAGTGTAATTCCTCTGTACCCAGCAAAATGCTGCTCCATGGATAATGACAGCTCTCACAGGAGACCAATGCTCCTTTTCCATAGCTCCTGGACACCTCACAGTAATTGGAAACAAGCTATGGAAAGCTCAGTAAAGGTGGCTGCTGAAACTCACCACATGCCTTTAAAAAACAGAATATTTTTCCTTCCCCTTCCCCTTAGGTTTTATTGGACTTCAAACAGGGAGCTGTTAAATTGTGTGGAGGTTCTCCCAACTTCACCTGCCCAATGAGTGTCTCTGCTCTGATCTTGTGGCTTGGCTGCTGAGGAAATAAACCGGAAAAGGGAAAGGAAACATCAGCTTCCGGTTTTCCTAATTGTGGGAAAAAAACCCCACAACAAAACGAAATAAATCCCTTGTTTATTATGTTTATTATCCCTTGTTTATTATTCCCTGGTGTATGGGGAAGCAGTTAAAGGTGTGATGGTCTCTACTGCTCAGTAGAGGCTGCTCTACAGAAAAATTTGTGATTTTAGGGTTTTTTCCAAGCAGGACACCAAATTTTTTTTGCCCCTGTCATTGCCTTAGTTTCTCACAAGCAAATTCACACCTGGTGAGTCCCTGGGCTTGCAGCAGAGAAGGATTGGGCCCCTGGAAGGCTCCAGGCCAGATGCTGCTGTTCCAGTGCCATAACTGGGAGAACAAGCCTGGTTCCCCTCTGGAAGATCATTCCATAAAGCCAAGGGCTCTGTTCTCTGCTCTGATGTGAGTACCTGACACACTGTCAGTGCAGATGACCTCATATCCCCCTCCCCACTCCCCTCTCCTGCTTTTCCACTCCATCTCCTCAGCCTGGCTTGGCTCGTGTCTCCCAGTGCCATTTGTCCGGAGCTGGATGAGCTCATGGATGTTGGGAGGGAGCTGTGCTGACACCCCTGCCTGGCCAGCACAGCCCAGCACGTGCTGAATCCATCCCTTCCCCGAGCAGCAGCTTTTAACACATCACACTTGAAGCTTTGCACTGAATTTCCAAGCCTAAAAGGCGGCGTAGAAGAAGCACCAACTCTTTTTCCACCATGGAACGGTTTGGGTTGGAAGCAACTTTTGAAGTTCATGAAGCCACAAGCAGGGACACCTTCAGTTCGATTTTGTTGATGCCTCATTTTCCTTGCCCGTAAGTGGGATAAACCAGCATGTTTTCAGTCCCAGCCTGCCTGAGCACAGGAGGTTTAGGGCAGGGCCCGGCTCGCTTCCACTGCTCACTGTGGTGATTATCCAAGATAAATCTGGGACATGTTGGGATCCAGCTGACAGGGAACTTGCCTGGACCCTCCTGAGGGAGTTTGATTCTTCACTTGGGTCTCCTCATCCATTCCTGAGCTCTGATTGTCAACACTCTGCAGAGGGATGGAGGCAGCTCCTGGCTAGGGAATAATGGCTTCATTCGGGAGTGGAAACCCGCTTAACTTTGGGAAGCGTTACCCTGGCTCTCCTCAGGGACACAGGTTCGTATTAAATGACAGTCCATCCTGCACTTCACCACCTCCATTACACCCTACAGCTGTGCCAAAGTGCTCCCTTCCTCCCAAATCCCACAGCAGCAGCTTTTCCACCCAGGGCAGCCTGGTGGAACAAAAATCATTTATTGCAGCCAAGGAGAAGCATCATGTATCCAGCACATCTCCTTTCAGCCCCCATGCTTCCCAGGGAGCTCCTGTCCCGTCCTGGGGACAAGATGTGTCTCCCACCACCTTCCAGAGCTTCCAGTCAAGGCTGTCTCCCTTGCTCATGAGCTTCATCAAGGAATCATCAGGAGCAGAGAGCTCTCCCAGTGGCCAAATTTGAACTCCCAAGTGGAAAACTCAATAAAATCATGTGTTCCTCGCCAGATGTGCTGACAGAATCCATGTTGGATCAAATTTCCCCTCAGGACCCTGCCTGGCAGAGGGATCATTTCTGCAAAGTTCAAGGACATCCCAATGAAACAAAATGGATTCTTGACCAGCTTGGAGCCAAAGTCAGGTGGACGAGTTTGAGTCAGATTTCACCATGCAAGATGAGGTTCACTTTTCTGAAAACTACTCTCAGATTCCAGACCAAGGAGAGGAAAGCTCTGGGATTCATTTGCCAAAGATTTCTTGCAAAACTACCAAGGAACTGGATGTGCAGCAAACCATATGTCCCCTGCAGAACTCACGTGTGTGAGGGGTTCCCAAGCCAAATTAAATTGAGATGTTCTCCAAAAGCCCAACCAAAGTGATGGGAAAAGTACCACGAGATGCAGCTCAACAGGGTGTTCAACTTCCAGGCTGAATTGTCCCTGTCCAAGCCTAAGGGCTCTTTGCTGAGGGTTCATAAATGCTAATCAGTGAAAAAGTTTAAAGTTTAACATCAGATTCATGGATTTATGGGAGGCTGTGATGGAAATGATTGCTAGGCCTCAGAAAAGACTGAGCAGGAAACAGCCTTCCAGCCTCTGATGCTATTTTTGAGAACAAAGAAGTAAACAACAGCAAAAAAAAAAAAATTGTATTCTGATGTAGTATCAATGTCAAGTTGAATTAAAATTTGACCCAAACCACCAGCTGAAATCTGCAGGGGGAAAAAAGCCTCTTTCAGATCAATTCTGTTGCTTCATCTAATTTTTTAAACATCTTCTCCAGTAAAAATAAAATTATTTCACACCTAAAGACACCAAGGAATAATTATTTTTAAAATTAATTTTAAAATTAAATTTTAAATCAAAAATGTAACATCTCAGCAGTTTGGAAGCAGTAAATGCCAGGTGTCCAGAGCCCCTCTTTAAAAATCTTTCACGGAAAACAGTTTCATTTTCAGCAAATCTTTTAAGAACAAGTAGGCAATGCTTCCTGGAGGAGACAAAAAATAAGCATTTCTTCAATATTTCTCAATCCACGACCTGTTTTCCCACTACTCTGCTGTGAAGCCCCCTCTCCATCAGCTGTTTGCCAGCCTCTAAGGGGTTGGAGAGGGTGTCCTGCTGAGGAGGACTCAGCTTAACCCTTTTTTGGGACAGGTCTCTGCTGGAAACTCCGGTCTCCTGTTTCCCATGCTTTTGCACTTTGCCTAATTT